GGAAGTGCTCGCTGCGGGCCGGCGGGCGAGGCACGGAGGCTGAGGGGACCCCCACGTGCGGCGGCGGCGGCGATGAAGTTCGCGTACCGGGTGAGCGCGGGCGCGGGGCGGCCGGGGGGTCGGGGGAGGGGCCTGGTGGGCTAGGGATGCGGGCGGCTTTGTGGCCACCGTGGGCCTGGGGGAGGCCGGCGTTGAGCGCAGCAGCGGCCCCGACCTGGACGGAGGGTCCCGGCCGCAGGTGGCGGGTCAGGACCCCGGTGCCCGGAGCCCCGCGGAGCGTCCCTGAGGCCACGTGAGGCCCGTCAGAGCGCGGCGTGGGGGGGGGGGGCGCAGGGACACCCGGATTTTTGCTCACAGCCGGCTGTCCCCCCATCGGGAACCTGGAGGTCGGCGCGCCCCCGGCGGCGGGCCCTCCTCTGCGGGCTGTTCTCTGGGGCCGCGGTCCCGGCCCCCACGCCGGTCCAGCCTCTGACCCCGCGCCGGCCCCGCAGCCCCGCCCCACACCTCACTGCCCACGCCTGCTCCTGGGCCCTTGGCCTCACCGCCCTATTCCCGGGACCTCCTCCCTCCCTCCCCAGCTCCCCGCGGCCGCGCTTGGTCCGCCCTCCGTCCCCTGATCCCGTCCTGGGTGAAGGAGCGCAGAAGCCTCACTGGCCTCCCTGGTTCCCTCTTGCTCCCACGGTCGTTAGCTGGTCTTCAGAAAACGGGAACGGGATCCCCCACGCCTCCGCTTTAAGCCTTCTCGCTGACCAGGCTCCTCCCTGGCTCTCCGCCTTGTTGGCCTGGTGGCTCCTTCTCGTCCAAGCCCCAGCTCAGGTGGCCCTTCCGAGCTGCTTCCCCGCCCACCCTCTGCGATGCGTCTCACCTGCCCCTGTGGGGTTTCGTCTTGAGCACCACACACTATCCTTAATTCTGTCTCTTGTCTCCACTGCCCCTCCTGTGGACGTGGACTAGGAGGGCACTGAGGGCAGAGACTGTGGGCACAGCTGTGTCTCCAGGGAACGCTCAAATCTGATGGTTGCACAGGTGGATTCATTACAGAGCTCTGGTCACCTTTGCAAGCTTTCTCTAACTTAAACATGGGTCCGTCCTCCTCTCCCCCGAGGACACCTGCTGTGTCAGGCTCCCCCAAGCTCACGGTGCCCCTCACCTGCCTCACTTCTTCCTCTGTCTTGCTCTGGGCTGGGCTGCCTAGGTGCCCAGGAAGTGTCCTAGTGGATGATCAGGGACCCTGCGGGGGGGCGCTGTGCCATCTCCTTGACCAGAGGCCTCACTTAGCTCTTTTCTAGAGTTCTGGAGACTCTGTCTTTACATTCTTTGTATTCAGACAGCTTTGTTTTCTTTTCAGTTTTCAAATTTGCTGGGGACAGTCTATCGGTGTGGAAACTTAAATTTTACCTGTGATGGCAATTCAGTCATCAGTCCTGTGGGAAACAGAGTCACTGTATTTGACCTTAAAAAGTAAGTGTGCTAAAATGGTGTTAACAGAGCGATCATTGTTACCATGTTTGCGTGTAAAAATGGCTGGTGTTTTCCTCACTTTCCCTTTAGTAGTACCCCTTTAATTAAGGCAGCTCGAGAGAGGCCCACAGGACTTAGGTGGTGTGGAGGGGCCAAGGGTGGAACTGGCCATAGGAGTCCCAGTGTCTTCCTTCTAGTCCCTCAGCTAACCCCCGCGGATCTAGGAGTATCTAGGTCAGTGAGGTTACCTTCACGGTAGAAATCATGTGTCACGGAATTGTCTGGAAAGGGGTGCCCAGAGGCGTGGAAGCTGCCCGTCCCTCTCGGTGCCTCCTACTTGATGAGCACGGTGCTCGCCCAGATCACTTCTGCATGCGCAGGTATACCGTCTTTCTCCCAAACAAGCGCATGGCTCTGTTCCTTTCTTCTCAAGGGGAAGGACTGCTGGATGGCCTGTCACCCCTTCCCAGACTTGTGTAGCCTGGGCGGGATCCTCCTGTCGCAGAGGCTCCCTGGGTTTCTGTCCTGCTCCACAGGCCTCAGTTTCCCTGTCTGTAAGATGGGACAGTAGTACGTGTGTTCTCAGCAAGTTGCTATCTAAAGTGCCCGAGAGCAGGGCCTGTGCAGGGCGAGTGCAGGGCCAGCTGCTGGCGTGCTCTTCACTGTTTTGTTTAAATGACATCTCACGGGGGCTCTCTAGAGTCACAACCACGCGTTCATTGAAGAAAAGCTGGAGAACGAAACAGTAAAGAACAAAATTAGAACCTAACCCAACCGTGCCTTATCTTTCCACCTTTGTGCGTTTTCCCATTTCTGTACAAAGTTTTACACAAATGTGCTGTCCTTGTGGTTAATGCCTCCCGTTGGATGGTTAGCTTGTTTCCAGTGTCTGGCTTTACACATTTGCAGAATCCTCGGGGTGCAGTCCTAGAGGCAAACTTGACATATCCAGAGCCCCTTTTTAAGGCTTTGCCAGCTTTTCTCTGGGGTCATTGTTTTCTCTCCTGTCTCTCCAGCGGGGACCAGGGGATGAGCAGTGAGCCTGGGCCCGGAGCTCTGATGGCACAGGATGGGGCGTGGTGCAGGGGCGGTGGCTGGTGGTCCAAGGCCACCCGGCCTCTCCGTCTGACAGCATGAGACCAACTGCACGGCTCTGTCTTTTGTCTCCCAGCAACAAATCCGACACTCTGCCCCTGGCCACTCGGTACAACGTCAAGTGTGTGGGGCTGTCCCCGGACGGCCGCCTCGCCATCATCATCGATGAAGGTAACCGCCCTGGTCCAAGAGACGGGGGTTCGGGGTGGTGACTGATGGCACCAGCTAGGAGATGGGTGCGGTGGGCGTCAGGGTGACACGAGGCCAACACCAAGTCCCGAGAGGGTCTAGGCCGCATGGTCGTCTCCCCCAGTTGTTTCCGTGTCTGGGGCCCTGGTGGGCTTCGGGATGAGAGTGTGCGTGCAGGGTGTGGATGCACCTGGGTGTCCTCCTGGGTTGTGTGCCCTTGGCACATGAGGGCTGGCTTCCTGTGCCGCGGGGCACGCGTTCCAGAGTCCTGATGCCTGCAGTGGAGACACGCAGAACCGCACCGCTTTTTGGTTGTACGTGTGCAGCGAATTTGCCGAGTGTCTGGGGTGGGGTGTCAAGTCTGGGGTGAAGGCACGATCACCGCCCTCCCTTCCTGCAGGGGGGGATGCTCTGCTGGTCAGCCTGGTCTGCAGGTCCGTGCTCCACCACTACCACTTCAAGGGCTCTGTGCACAGCGTCTCCTTCTCCCCTGATGGCAGGTAAGGGCCTGGGGGAGCTGCTGAGGTGCAGACTCCATGACTCGTGTGGCGGGGCTGGACCCGGCTCGTGTGGCCCTGGAGGGCTCTCTGCACTCGGACCTTACTGTGGGAGCCCGTGCCAGTGCCTCTTGGCCGGTCCCTTAACCGAGTGTTCCTGCCGGCTCCGGGCTCCTGCAGGGCTGCCCAGGCGCGGCCCCTCCCCCGCTTGAAGGCCGGTGTTCGAGCCTCAAGTGGGAGGTTCTAAAGGCTCTCATCCAAACCCGCTCCAGAGCGGGTGTGGCCCTTAGAGGACCTCACGGCCTCCAGACAGCCGGGCCACACAGGAGCCCCTGGCGCCGAGGGCCAGGCCCCCAGCTCTGATGTCCATCAGCAGTGAGGAGGGTGTCGTGTGGGGGCAGGGCCCTGGCCAGACCTAGCCCTGCTCCGGGTTCAGGGGCCTCGAGAGAGAGGGCTGGTTCCCAGGTTGCGCACACCCAGGCCGACCCAGATGTGCCGTGGAAGGAGTGGCTCTGGGTTTTAGTCCTGAGCCCCCATCCCATGTCCATACTCGGAAACCCCTTAGAGCGGCTCCTGAGGCCGTGGCTGCTCTTCGGTGCCTGTCACGCGGGGCCACTGTCTTCCTTTTGGTTCCACCCTGGGGCTGTCCAAGCTTGGCCTGGCCACGGCTGGCAGGCACGCCTGATGGGGCCCCTGCTCTGGGCAGAGCGGTGGCAGGCCCAGGGTGCTGCAGGGTCTGTCCGCTTCCTCCCTGACTCTGTCCCTGCAGGAGAAGGGGACTCGGGGCCAGTGAGAGGCAGGCCCCCAGGTTGGCCTTGTAGGAAGCTGGCCCCAGAGCAGGAGAGCTGTCCTCTGGGAGGCTCTCAGCTGGTCTCAGGATCTCCCTGGTGTTGAACATCAACGGCCCCCGTTTCCATGGCAGGAAATTCGTCGTCACAAAAGGCAACATCGCTCAGATGTACCACGCCCCTGGGAGGAAGCGGGAATTCAACGCGTTCGTCCTGGACAAGACCTACTTTGGGCCGTACGATGAGACCACGTGCATCGACTGGACAGACGACTCCCGGTGAGGCCTGGGGAAGGCGGGCAGGGGGCCTGGGGACGGGGCCCGAAGGGGAGGCCTGTGACCAGCCTCTTGTTAGACAACCTGGGTGCCTCCTATCACATCCTGAATTTCTTTCGGAAATGTCCTCTCATGGGCCTCTTGTGGGCTGGATGGGCTCCTGCTTGAGTCAGGTCTGCCCTGGCCTTGGTCTTAGTCACTGGAAACCAGAGAGTGGGATCTGGCCCTGACGAGGATGCTGTACATCCGTACATGTGGTCGAATTTGTGCCCCCAAACACCCAGAGCAGCTGTGGTCGGGGGAGAGTTGGTGGGTTTCTCCCAGCGTGGGTGAGGGGGAGCACTCCAGCCCAGTCCTCTCACGGCACCATCCCTAACCGTCCCGACAGGCAGCCGAGAGTTGCCAGGTTTTTCTCAGCTGCCCTGAGTTCTGTGTGCAGGGAGCAGCAGAGGCTGGTGGTGGGTATGTCGGACCAGCTGCCACAGTGGGGGGACACAGCTCCCAGGCAGCGTGCAGTGTGTCAGTGGGAGACAAAGGTCCTACTCCTGGGACGGTGTGCAGGGTGCCCCCTGGCCAAGCCTTCCCGCCTCTTCAGTGAGGCAGCGCCTGTTCTGGGTCTGTCTCTGTTTATGCCATAAGCAGAGTTCACCCCGATTGGGATCCAGGGCAGGTTGGAGAGGTGTGAGGAGCAGGGTCCCCAGGTAGCACCCGACAGGCTTGGCAGTCAGTTTTCTCCCCTCGGCTGCCCTCTTGTGAGGCACCGCTTTGTGAGGAGGGACGGTGACACACGTCCACTGAGGCTCCTGGTCCAGGAGAAGCACAGATGGATGTGTCCACGCCGAGAGGTGATGTGGGCCACACAGACCTGGACGTGTCCCTGTCCACCACCCTGGGCATCTCCCTGTGCTTGGGGCGGCCTCGGCTGGGAGCCCTGAGGACGAGCTGTCTCCTCTGTCCAGGTGCTTTGTGGTCGGGAGCAAAGACATGTCCACGTGGGTGTTCGGGGCCGAGCGCTGGGACAACCTCATCTACTACGCGCTGGGGGGACACAAGGACGCCATCGTGGCCTGCTTCTTCGAATCCAGCAGCCTGGACGTACGTCCTGCGCCTGGAGCCCCTAGCCCGACGGCATTCCTGGTCTCCGCTGCGAGTGTGGGAGGCCCTGGGAGGCCGTGGCACTGGGCCCTCCCCGAGGTCCTCAAGGGCCGTTCCTGGGCGTCCTGGGGATGTTTGGGAGCTGACGATGGCTGTTGGCTGCTCGCTGGGCGTCATTTCTCCCAGTGCGCAGGGGCAGGCCTTGATGGAACGGCTGAAGCTAAGACAGCGGTCTCGTGAGCTGGGGTCGGGGTGACGCACGCCCACTGCCACGTGCTTCCCTTTGCAGCTGTACACGCTGAGCCAGGACGGAGCCCTGTGTGTGTGGCAGTGTGACACGCCCCCTGAGGGCCTGAGGCTGAAAGCCCCCACAGGCTGGAAGGCGGACCTGCTGCAGAGGGAGGAGCAGGACGAGGAGGGGGAGAGGGAGACCACTGTCCGCGGGAAAGCCACCCCGGCAGCGGAGGAGCAGCAGGGAAAAGTGAAGTACTCTCGGCTGGCCAAGTAGGTCTCCACGCGCAGAGTGGGGTGGGCCTCGCGCCCTCTGAGGTGGAACTGGGGCGCGCTCCTGCGGGCTCTCTTGCCTCAGAGGGACCCGGATGGGAGGTCGGTGGGTGAGGACCCACAGGCACAGCAAACAGGCCGCTTCTCCGTGGGCCCCTCCTGGGGGACCAGCTGAGAGGCTGCCTGGTCCTGAGTGGGGGGTCAGGAGGCTTAGAGAGTGGAGAGCCACGGGCGCGAGGAATGGGGGGTCGCCCTCAGCGGATGAGAGGCAGTGCAGTTAGGGCTGCCTCCCTACGTGCCCTGTGTGGAGCAAGGGCCTCTGGCCCAGGGGTCCTGGGCAGGTGCTGGCGGGGGCATGAGACCAGCCTGGCTCTCTGGTCCTCCTCCTGCAACGGTCCCGTGCCCGTCTATTTAGGTACTTCTTCAATAAAGAAGGGGATTTTAACAATCTGACAGCTGCAGCGTATCACAAGAAGATCCACCTCTTGGTCACTGGTTTTGCTTCCGGAATCTTCCACCTTCACGAGCTCCCGGAGTTCAACCTCATCCACTCCCTGAGGTGAGTGCCTCTGCTCTGTGGCACGTGTGGTTTCCTGAGCACTTGAGAGTGTGACCAAGTCCAGCAGGCCCATGATGGACGTGGGCAGAGGCCATGCTGTGCTTGCCCTGACTAGGGCTGTGGCGTTAGGACGGCTCCCCAGGACCTCTGTCCTCGCCTTCATCCTGGCCTTCGTCCTGGCCAGGTGGGAGGGCGGGTTAGAGGGAACTGGGTGTGCTGCCTGTCCTCATCTCAGACACCAGGTCCCTCCCTGGGCTTTGGTCTCCCAGAGCATCAGGTCACTTTTCTTTCTCATTCTCATTTTTTCTTTCTGTTCTTCATCTTTGGAAGTTAAAATACTGGTTTTGCAAAATCACACAGCTCCCCCATTTTTGAGTGCAGGGCGTCACTCTGGGTTTTCTGATGCTTTAAATGAAGTGAATGGTTTACGTCTAGACAGTGGGTGGGGAGAAGGTGGGTATGGACGGTAGGGGCCACCTGGCCCTGCCCTCGCCCGCCCGGCCACCCTGACAGTGGGGCCAGGAGGCTCTTCTGTGCTCACCTTGTCTTGCTTTTCTGCTCAGCATCTCGGATCAGAGGATCGCGTCCGTCTCCATCAACAGCTCTGGGGACTGGATTGCCTTTGGCTGCTCAGGTTTGTCTCTGTGCCCGGGTTGTGTGAGAACAAGAGCAGAGCTTCTGCTGCAGGGCACCTGCCTGTGGTCCCCTCGGGTGCTGGGTCCCGGCCCGGCTGGCTCCGGGAGAGACGCCTTCAGGGGCCTGTTGTGTGCAGAGTAGGTCAGCTGGGTGGCTCAGGTGTGAGGGAGCAGTCAGTGAAACTTCCAGAACAAGTACTTCTCTGAGCTGTGAGTCCCTTGTTGCCTGAATCCCAGTCTCTGGCTACAGCCCCTGGCCTGTGGCCTTGGCCCTCCAGTGGGCCGCAGCAGGTGTCCACTCTGTGTGCTGGTGATTCAGGAGATTGACGTCTCTGAGCTGGATCTCCTCGGGTGGAGGGTGACAGCGCCTGCCTCAGGGTGGGACAGGTGGTCCGGGTGCCAGCATGAGTCAGGCGGGGCGGAGCGTCGTGAGCCGGTCTGCAGCCTGTGTGGTCCGCAGGCCTGGGCCAGCTGCTGGTGTGGGAGTGGCAGAGTGAGTCCTACGTGCTCAAGCAGCAGGGCCACTTCAACAGCATGGTGTCCCTGGCCTACTCCCCCGACGGGCAGTACATCGTGACCGGCGGGGACGACGGCAAGGTGGGGCTGCGCCGCCTTGGAATTGGGCTGGTGGGTGGCAAGTGGGGAGCCACAGGGTCCTGTCTCTGTCCCGTTGGCCGGGGCACCAGGGGCCGGGCTGAGGGGGGAGCGAGGCATTTGTGGCCAGGCCCCGCCTGTGGGGTTCAGCCTGGAGCTCTCGGGCTCTCCCCACCTCATCTGTGCTCCCGAAGAGGCGTTTACAGACTTAGCCGGATCTGAGTAGAGGGGATTTGGGGGTCCATTTCCCCATTTTTGGGTCGGGCTCCCAAACACATGCACCTTCTTGGCTGAGGGGTCTGTGGTGCCAGCAGCTTCCGTCTGACATGGGTTGGTGCTTGCTTGCTTCCTGTGGCAGCGCAGGGCCCCCCGACATCCCCCAGCCCTCCCTCGTGGGGCGACAGGAATTGATGAGAGGCAGACGATCTGTCCAGACCTCAGCGCCCACACGGATGCCTGCATGTGTGTCTGCGTCTGTGTGTGTGTGTTCAGTGTGTGTTCAGGGGTCCTTGGTTGGGGCCGTGTGTGTGTGTGTGTGTGTGTGTGTGTGTGTGCGCGCGCGCAGTCCCAAGCCGGGGCCCGCCTACTTCTCACATGCTCCCCACCACAGGTCAAGGTGTGGAACACTCTCAGTGGCTTCTGCTTCATCACTTTCACGGAACACTCCAGCGGGGTCACCGGTGTGACCTTCACTGCCACTGGCTATGTCATCGTGACCTCTTCCATGGACGGGACTGTGCGAGCCTTTGACCTTCACAGGTGACCTTTCTGCTGGGATGCCGGCTCAGAGCAGGTTCCTCTCTGCAGTGGGCTGTGAGAGGCAGGCTGAAGGTTCCAGGCTTGTCGGGAAGCCTGTGGTGTAGACGAAGGCACGGTTGAAGCCCCAGCATCTGGGACTTCTGGGAGTGATGCCAAGCGGGACATTTCTCTTCCCGGCAGGTACCGGAACTTCCGCACCTTCACGTCCCCACGCCCCACCCAGTTCTCCTGTGTGGCTGTGGACTCAAGTGGGGAGATCGTTTCTGCTGGGGCCCAGGACTCCTTCGAGATCTTTATCTGGTCCATGCAGACAGGCAGGCTCCTCGACGTAAGGACTGTGGGTCCCAGGAGCCGTGCTCTAGAAGAGACTGGGGCTGGAGGGTGTGGGGACAGGCCACACTCGACACACAGGAAGGGCGCCTCTGGCAGACCTGAGGGGAGCGAGTGTGTTAGAGGTCACATCTCAGGACAAGCAGCACTCTTTACACGCGTTTTCTGACCTGGCCTCCTCTCCCTTCCCTGCACCAAGATAGAGTTAGCCCGCCTCATCCCACAGCCTCGAACGTGCCAAGAGGGGCCGTGTCTCAGGCCACAGCCTCTGCGCGCACCAGTGTCCGGCTCGGGGCGGCCCACCACGCTCTCACCTCTTCAAACCCTTCTCTGAACCACAGGTTTTGTCTGGCCATGAGGGGCCCATCAGCGGTCTGTGTTTTAATCCAATGAGGTCGGTGCTGGCCAGCGCCTCCTGGGACAGGACAGTGCGTCTGTGGGACATGGTCGACAGCTGGAGGACCACGGAGACCCTGACCCTGACCTCCGACGGTGAGCTGCACGGTGGGGTTAGTGGGCGGGGATCGTGACCCGGGACGACGGCCTGGTCTCCGTGCCGTTACCCACCTGTCTTGGTTGTGTGTCTGAATGTAAACCCAGGACCCCCACTCCCACAGCTGTTAGGGTTGGGGCCAGTCCAGGGTCACTTGGTGTCGGATGTCCCCCTAGGAGAGCGAGCTGGGGGCCTGGCTGCTGCAGGCTTCCCGCCACTTTCTGCACTTGCCTGTGGGTTAACGTCCCCGGAGAAGCAGCTGATGGAGCCACAGGGAGAAGCTGACGTGATTGTAGGCAGCGCAGGAGGCCCCCAGCCCAGGTTGGGTGGGCCGTGCCCCCAGGAGTCCCGCCGCCTGTGTTTGTGGAGTCGTCCCGGAGCACAGCTGGGCGTGTGTGGATGTCTTGTCCATGGCTGCTCTCGCCGTGGCGGTAGAGCTGATGGGTTGTGGCAAAGACCAAACCATTCTGGCCCTGTGCCAAACACGTTTGCCACCCCAAAACTCGAGGGTCTCCTCGGTGTTTTCTGCTTCCCGCCGCCCCACCCGCCTCTGGTCCAGGCTTTCAGCAGCCGGCGTCCTGCATCTTCTCGGGGCATCCGTACTGACCTCCCGCCTCCAGTTAGTCTGTTTCTGGTCTGTCCTGCATGTCCGTCAGAACAGGCTTTGCTGTGACCTCCGTATGACTGGGACTCACCCTTGCCCGGCCCTCCTCCAGCCCTGCGCCCTCCCACCAGGCTGGCCCCTGCTCAGTTGTGCGTCGTGGGCGTCCCACGGCCCCACCTGGATCCCTCACCCCTCGAGGCGGCTGGGCCCTGCCCGCACAAGCAGCCGACGTGGCTCTAAGCTGTCCGTGCCGGGGCCCAGGGCCCGCCTCGTGGGGCTGGAGCTTCTTGTGTACCCCCACCCCACCCAGAATCGGTCCCTCTCGAGCTGGTAATGAGGACCAGTGAGGGTGGGCCTGCCTGCCGGAGCCTGGGGTCTTCCTCGGACCCTGATTTTGCATCTCTTTTCAGCTCTGGCTGTGACTTTTCGCCCCGACGGTGCAGAGCTGGCTGTGGCCACTCTGAACTCACAGATCGCCTTCTGGGACCCCGAGAAAGCCGTGCAGACGGGCTCCATTGAGGGCAGGCACGACCTCAAGACAGGCAGGAAGGAGCTGGACAAGATCACCGCCCAGCACTCGGCCAAGGGGAAGTGAGTGTCTCAGTGGGGCGAGGGCCGCAGGCTGGGAGCCTGTCCAGCGGGGGCGGCTCTTCTTCCTGGGGGAGCCAGGGCACCTGTGTTGGGGTTTTGTGCACCACGGCTTGATAGATTACAGTGTCCTCACACACCTTTGACCTTAACAGTGCTGCTGTGAGTGTTTGGGGATGAGTGTGTGCCCCTAGGAGTGGAATTGCTGGGTGACCCCAAGGTGACTCTGTGTTTAAGTTATTGAGGACCTGCCAGACTGTTTTCCAAGAGGCTGCAGCATTTTATGTTCTTGCCGGCAGTGTGGGAGGGTCCAGTTCTCCACAACCTTACCAGTCTCATTAGTCTGTTTTTTTAATTTTTTTTTTTTTTAATTTATTTTTTTCCCCCCAAAGCCCCAGCAGATAGCTGCGTGTCATAGCTGCACATCCTTCTAGTTGCTGTATGTGAGACTCGGCCTCAGCATGGCCGGAGAAGCGGTGCGTTGGTGCGCACCCGGGATCCGAACCCGGGCCGCCAGCAGCGGAGCGCGCACACTTAACTGCTAAGCCACGGGGCCGGCCCAGTCTGTTTTTTTAAATCGTAGCCATTCTGGTGGATGTGAGGTGGGATCCCTTTGTGGTTTTGATTTGCATTTCCCTAAGGACTGGTGGTGTTGAGCATCTTTTCCTGGGCTGCTGGCCATTTGTATGTCAGCTTTGGGGAAATGTCTGCCCAGAGTATTTGCCATTTTAATTGGGCTCTGTCCTTATTGCTTACTTGCTCGAGTTATGTGTTCAGATGTGAGACGCTCATCAGTTATATGGTCTGTGAAAGTTTTCTCCCATTCCGCGAGGTGACTGCTTTCTCGATGGTGTCCTTTGGAGCACTAAAGTTTTAATTTTGGAGACATCCGGTTTCTTTTTTCTTTTTTTTTTTTTTAAAGATTTTATTTATTTATTTTTTCCCCCCAAAGCCCCAGTAGATAGTTGTATGTCATAGCTGCACATCCCTCTAGTTGCTGTATGTGGGACTCGGCCTCAGGATGGACGGAGAAGTGGTCCCTCGGTGCGCGCCCGGGATCCGAACCCGGGCCACCAGCATCGGCGCGCGCACACTTAACCACCAAGCCACGGGGCCAGCCCAGTTTATTTTTTCTTTTGTCGCTTGTGCTTTTGGTGTCACGTCTAAGGATCCACTGCCTAACCCAAGGACACTGTCTCGAGTCCTGTGAGCAAACAGGGCATAAGTGCCAGGTTTCTGGCCCTGCAGGACTACGTAGACATTCCTGTGAGCAGCCGCTGTGAGGGTGGCAGGCGGACTGGCCTCCTTTTCATTCTGACTTCAATGAGGAAACGCCCTGACCCGAGCCACGGGGTCCTTTTGTGTAAAGGTCGTGCCTCTCGGGAGGCTGCAGCCCTCACCCTCGTCTGGAGAACGGAGCGGGGTGACTGGACATTGTCAACCACACGTTCAGAGTCCCGCAGGAGTTCAGTCCTGAGCCGTGTGGGAGGGTGGCGTTTGCCCTCTGGAATCTGGGTGGGAGGAAGCCTGGGTGGTGACTAAGTCCTCGTCCCTCCGCTTCAGGGCCTTCACCACTCTGTGCTACTCGGCGGACGGCCAGAGCATCCTGGCGGGAGGGATGTCCAAGTTCGTGTGCATCTACCACGTCAAGGAGCAGATCCTCAGGAAGAAGTTTGAGATCTCCTGTAACCTCTCTCTGGACGCCATGGAGGTGAGCCAGCGCGTGGGGCTCCACAGCACGGCTCTGCGGGCTTCACGGGACGCCTGCATGGACCTGCGCTGTGCTGTGAACGCACGAGGCTGCTCCCAGGGGCGCCTGGCCCCTGCCCTCGCCCCTCCTCACACTCTGGCTCCCACGGGAACTGGGGCGGGGTCTCTGGGCAGACGTGCAGTTGCCTGGGTCGCTGCTCTGGCCCATCGCAGGGCGAGGGCTTCTGTGTGGCCGCAAGCCCGCCCCTCCTGAGTGTTTCTGGGGGAACGTGTCCTGGGCATATCCCTGGGACGTGCAGCCAGGATGGGCCGAGCAGATGGGCAGCCTGAGGGAGCAGCGGCCCCTGCATGTTGGGCTGACGTACCCCCATGTGTGCGTCCCTCAAGGAGGCTCACAAGCTCTTCCAGTGTTGAGTTAGAGAATCCGACCACCACCGAGGTGGCAGCGGGGACTCCCGCCATCAGCAGCAGGCTCCGAGGGGAGGTTCTGCCACGAAAGGGGCTGGGGTGGGCTTATCGCTGTCCCTTCTCAGGGTCCGTGTGTCCTGTATGCATTCCAGACAGGGCTGGGGTCTCGTCCTGCTGTGCCCTGCCCTCACCTCTGACTGGTGAGCTGCCTATGGTTTTCCTTTCTAGGAATTTTTGAACCGAAGGAAAATGACCGAGTTTGGTAACCTGGCACTAATCGATCAAGATGCCAGGGAGGAGGCTGGAGTCGCGATACCACTGCCGGGAGTGAAGAAAGGTGCGCAGAGTGTCTCTCGTGTCCCCAGGGCCCCGGCCATAGCAGGCCACCCTGCTCACCGCCCACTTTTCCTGGACGACAGTGGTTTTGCTCTGTTGCTGGGGCTGCAACAACTGCCGTCCAGGAACTCGTGCTGCACGTGGGGGCCGTTTTGTGGAGGCTGGGGGTGCAGGAAGCCTCCCTGAGTTGCTGTATGGCCTGCAGCCTCCTTGCCTGCCGGGGCCCAGCCCTCTGCTTCCCACTCCCTCCACGTGGGCCACAAAGAGACTACAGTGTTGGAGCCACGGTCCAGGAGGCCTGAGGGGCACACGTGCCTCACAGGGTCAAGGCAGAAGACAGGGACCCTCGGGCCCTGGTAAACCATCACGAAGGGACACCCATCTCCAGAAAGCCTGCGTGTCTCTGTGTGTGCCGGCCCTGGGCACGGTCTTGGGGTGGCTGCCCTGCCCGCCTTGCCACTGGTGCTGGCCTGGGCCTGGTTCACTCCTGTGAGGCCCGCCCTGCACGGTGGGGAACGAGGGCACCTCAGCGACTGGCTGGGTGACGGGGAGGACTGAACGAGCAGAGGCAGGTTCCACAGTGGTTCCGTGCAGCGCCGAGCACAGCGCACGCACATTCGCTTCTCTACACCTGATGGCAATGGGCCTGTGCTGAATGCGTCCCGAGAACTTCTTAACGAGAATATGGCCTGTGATTCCCCAGTTGGGTAGAGTAGTGGTCTCAACCTCTCTGGAGACGTTCTGATCGTCTTGACCTGGGGGGAGGTGCTGCTGGCACTGAGTGTGGAGAGTCCAGGGGGTCTGCTGGACCCACAAGGACCCGGCCCCAAATGCTGGTCACCAGCAGAATACTTCTAGGGGCACACAAAATGTCGTGGCAGTGGCCTCCAGGAAAGGCTTTAGCTGGCTGGGGACCAGAAGGAGAGGAGACTGACTTTTCACAGGTCACTTTTGTGTTATTGAGTTCTATGCCACGGGAATATATTAGCCACTTAAAAAGCTACTTTGAAAATAAAATGCCAGCAAGGACTCACATGATGATGCCCAGTGAGGATGAGTCTCCACTCCACAGAGCTGCCTTGTGCAGTTGTGTGGCTTGTGCACTGCACAAGGTGACTGGCCAAATGGGTAGGTGGTACTGGAACCACCCTGCCTCACAGCCCTGGGCTGGGCGGAGGCCTTTTCCCAGAACAAACCAGCTGTTTGCTGGCCAGGCCAGATGCCCACGGGAGCGTCTTCTCCAAGGGCTCACACGTGGAGGCCAGCGGCACTCATGAAACAGCATCTGAGACCCAGGGCCTCACCAGCACAGGGCTCACCTGCCGTATCTGCAAACAGGGCAGGAGGGCCAGGGGGCAGGGCTGCTGGTCTTGATGGGCCCGTAGGCACCCCTGGCCAGTGAAGTGACCCTGGGGTGGCCCTCCCTCTGTCGGGTGAGTGGCAAGGGATGTGCTGCTGTGTGACTGAGTGGTTTCTGTGTTTCCCAGGTGACATGAGCTCTCGGCACTTCAAACCTGAAATCAGGGTGACCTCCCTCCGCTTCTCTCCCACCGGTGAGCCCCGAGCAGCAGGTTGTTGGTTCTGGGAGGGGAAGGGGCTCGTCCTGATGGGCGTCGGGGCTGAGGTTGCACGATGGGCCTGCCATGTCTGCTCCCACGGACAAGGTCAGTCTCAGAGCCTCTGTCTGGCTCTGGCCACACTGTCCGCTGTGGGTAAGACGTGACGGTCTTTGTCCTCGCCAGAGGACGGCTGTGAAAGCTCTTACCTCAGACACACCGGGCTTCGAAACAGGGAGGCAGACACCTGCTCTGAGTGCCCTTCTCCTGTGCCAGTCAGGACTGTCCCAGGGGGCCGCCTCCTCATCTGCCATCAAGCACCTTGCTCCCCCATCCTGCCCCACTACTGAAGGTGTCTGCAGACTGGCTCTGAGCACCGGGAGGGAGGGTCTGTGCCCCCAGGGCCTGGGGCTGTTAGGTACATGCGGTCCCGAAAAGTGGAGCTCTGCAGGGGGTTGCAGTGGCCTTGTGGTTACGGGTTGCCAGCTGGCGCTTTCCAGCATAGATTGCGTGACACGAGCAGCACCCGGCCTCGACTGCTGTGTGAGCCAGTTTATCTGCATGTTGCGTCCTGGCCCCACGGTGGAGTTGAGAAGTTGGAGCAGAGACCACATGGCCTGCAAAGCTGGAAACCTCTGCCCTTGACAGAAAAGTCCTCTGGGCCTGGTGTAAACCAAGGGGGAAGGCGTTTGTGTACGTGTCTGCTCACGTGCTCACAGCAGCTCTGGAGGAGTACTTGCGGACGTGACCCAGGTGCCCCTTCCAGAGAGGAGCTGGTGGCTGAGAGAGCATGAGAGAAAGATGTCCCCCTCTTCCTTTCTGTGCTGCTGTATTTGGGACCACGGGAACGTCTTCAATACCTGTTCTTTAAAAAATGGAGGCAAGTGAGAATAAATGTTTGGGAAGGCGCTTGACTGCTTAATTTCCCAGGGCGCTGCTGGGCGGCCACCACCACCGAGGGGCTCCTCATCTACTCCCTGGACACCCAGATGCTCTTTGACCCGTTTGAGCTGGACACCAGCGTCACCCCCGGACGGATCCGGGCGGCACTGCGCCAGCGGGACTTCACCAGGGCCATCCTCATGGCCTTCCGGCTCAACGAGAGGAAGCTGCTGCAGGAGGCCCTGGAGTCGGTGCCCTGGGACGAGAGTGAGCGCCCGGGGTCCTGGAGGGGCCACGAGGACCCTGCGTCCAGACCCAGCGGTCGGGGTTCTCGGGCTCTTTGCAAACGCAGGAAGGGCATAAGCTGTAATCGTCTCTTCTCCTGATTTGAGTTCTTTGCAGAGTGAGCATGTTTTTCCTCCTTTTCTTGCAGTTGAAGTTGTCAGCTCCTCCTTCCCTGAGTTGTATGTGGAGAAAGTGCTGGAATTTTTAGCTTCATCCTTTGAGGTGTCTCGCCATCTAGAATTCTACCTGATGTGGACTCAGAAGTTGCTCATGGTGCATGGGCAGAAGCTGAAGTCCAGGTAAGACGTGCTTCACCTGCTCGTTCTTCTGTGAGTTCTGTCACTTGATCAGCTGGTCTTCACAGATAAGAGGGGAAACTTTACCTGCAAACACGGCATGAAGTGAGGCCTTTACGTGCAAACAGGGTGTGAGGTGAGGCCTTGACACAACAAGCAGCACACACGGAGGCCTTACGTGCAAGTGCAGTGTGAAGCGAGGCCCGCACAGCCTTCCGGTCACTGCTGTGCACTGAGGGAAGTCTCCTCTGCAGAGCGGGGAAGCTGCTGCCAGCAGTTCAGTTCCTTCAGAAGAGCATCCAGCGGCACCTGGACGACGTCTCCAAACTGTACGTGTTGCTGGCGTGGTTGGTGGGCAGGGCGGGGGTTGGCCCTCTGCCAGCTGGTTGCCCCCGGGGGCTGCTCCCTTGCTGCCCCTGAACCAAATTCACTGGCTGGCCCACGGTGGGACTGGAGGTTGGCCAGCTTCGGGTGTGCCCTGGGGTCGAAGAGAGAGACCTCTCGGTGAGACAGTGAGCATCTGCCGCAGTTAGACAAGCAGAGGCGGTGTGCCGTGGTGCGGTCAGAAGCCTCTGTCCTCCTGTCGCCAGGTGGTTTCGTTAGGGTTCATGCACTTTCTGGAACCTACCCTGAGTCCGAGTGGCCCATGAAGACCTCACAGCTTGGCCTCTTCTGGAGGGTCTCCCCTCCCCGCCGTTGATGGGGTGTGTCGAGAGAGGTGGGGTCTGAGGTGCTGTGTTCAGGATCGGTGGCCAGGTGTCCCAGCTCCGTTTCTGAAGGTCTGTCCTCTTCCCCTGCTCTTGTCTGCCCAGCGTCCACAGGCAGAGGCCTGTGTCTGGCCTGGGGGCCCCATGGTCCTCCCGTCTGCCCTTGGCTGGTTCCTGTCTTGATGAGTCTAGAACAGGCCCTTCTTTCTTGAACTTTTCTTCCTGAGCCTCCTGACTCTGCCATCCGCTGGGGAGAGAGCCTTCCCTTTGTCGAGGCTTCCCTGACTCCCCAGAGAGGCTGGCACCTCCTGTTAGAGTCAGTCCTCGTGGCTTGTGTTCCCGTAAAGGTGGTGTTCCTGGAACCTCGGCGTCGAGTGACGGTTGCTGATTGTGGGGCACAGCTGGCTTTCATGTATCGATTTGGGGGAGGCTCCAGCTACACTTCCAGACCTATATTCCGGTTTAGAGCCCCACTCAGGCAGTAGCACCGCCTGCACGCACGGTGGTTGCTGCTTTTATTCATCGCTAATCCTTTCACTTTATAGTTCGTTCGTCCTCACCAGGTGGTTTCCTGCATTGAAACGATGGTGTGATTTCTCCCTTCATCCTGTCACTGGGGGGAATTAACTGACTCAGAGTGTTCCTCTCTGCTCTAAAGCGGCTCTGGAGCTCCGCAGCGGTCCCTTCCTCTGGTGTCTGGGGGACCTGGCTGGTGAAGCTGGCTGGGCTGGGTCCAGAGAAGGGCAGGGCGGTGAGGGCAGACCAGAAGGGATGGATCTCACAGTTGGGTCTTTGAAGGCCTCCACTGCTCCAGGGCTGGAGGGTGGCCGGGGCACGGAAGAGAGGAGAGAAGGGAGGCAGGTGGGGGGCTCGTGTAGCCCATGGCTGGTGTTTCTCGGGGTCACAGAGGTGGTTGGTGCGGGTGAGCCGGGGTTCTCGCTGGAAAGACAATCCGTGTTGCTTTTACTGACGTGATTCCTGTGAACCTCAACAGCTGTGACTGGAACCGCTACACCATTCAGTACGCTCTGGCAGTTTCCAAGCAGAGGGGCATGAAACGCCCCTCGGAACCTCGGGGAAGTGAGGAGGAAGCAGGCGCGTCCGATGACGATGACAGTCTGCACCTGCTCGGGCGAGGACACGGGGACGAGGACGAGGACGGGCTGCTGGTGTAGAGCCGACCGGGTGTGCAGCCCCGCTCGTTTCGGTTAAGACCCCTGAGAGATGGAACCGTGCTGCCTGGGCACAGGAAGTGAGGGGAGGGCAGCCCGGAGAGTGTGGCAGTGCTGTCGCCGAGGACTTGCTCTTCCTGTGAGAATCAGACAGGGCAGCAGCATCAGAGCGAGCTGAGCGTCCCCGGCCAGCCCAGGCCTGGCACGCGGGGCCCAGGATCCGGCCACGTGAATGAAAGTAAAGGATGGGCGTCTGCTATGGAAAACGCCTTCCAGAGAGACAACTGGGTTCACGTTGATAGACGCAAACTTCGTAAGAGCGTTATTTATATTTTTAGTATGCAGTTCTGATGATAAATTGAGGGATGAAAAAGATGGGATTTTCTAAAATGTAAGAATGGATTAAGTTTGAACTCTGAATTAAAAATGTTTATAATTTATTCTCGGTGTGACTCATGCAGTGGGATCGGGGCCACCTGCCTGCTGGCAACTCGGTGCTGGGTGAGCAGGTGAGCAGGGCAGGTGGATGGCCAGCCATGCCTCAGCCCTGGCGGCCCCCAGCCATGCCTCAGCCCTGGCGGCCCCCAGCCTAGGTCACCTGCTCCTGTGATCTCTACACAGGGTCGGGGCAGGAACATCTGCTTGATTGACCTCGGAGAGGGACGTGCAGGAGCCCAGGGCTGGGGCCGGATGGTCCTCTGGGGGAGCTCACTCAGACCTGCCCAGCCAGCCCTGCATAGGCCACATGGAGGAGGAGACGGGCCACTCTGCACTGTGATGCCCCTCAGGAAGGGTCACTGTGAGAGTGTCTTGGACCAGCTTCTCCAATACAGCCAGGCCCCTGGTCCCTGTGGCTCGGTAGCAGCAGCCTCCAGGTCAGGACACAGGGCAGACCTGGGTGCAGTACTTCCCAGACAGCGTGCGGGCATGGCGTCTACAGGGCCCCAGCATATGGCTCACCAGAGGTGTGGCCAACAAGTCATGGCACGGCATCCGGCTCTCCTGTGCTCGCCTGGGACGTGGAGCCGATACCTGCCCACCTCCCCATGCTGGCGGAGGCCTGATGGGCTGCATGGGGAGAGGGAGGTGTGCATGTAACACCTCATGCACCAGGAGCTGCTGCCACCACCACCGTCTAACAGGAAAGCCCTTCACAGCTGGCCTGGTGCCCACTCGAGGGGGTTCTAACCTGAGTCTGTTCACCCATAGTGCATGTGCTCAGGCCTGCAGAGCTCAGACCTCTACTGTCACTGGTGTTTCTTCCTACACATCATCTCCACATGTAACTTAGGCTAGAAAACTCCAGTATTCCCTTCTCTTCACCTCAGCTTTGTCACTAAGTTTCACGTGTGCACAGTGAAATGCAGCTGAGTAGAGGCCCCTGGAGGTGCAGATGACTGAGAGGTGGGGGCTCTGCAGGTGGGGTCCAGGAGCAGTGGCCGAGTGGCCTCCCTGCTCAAGGCCTGGCAGCAGCAGCACCCAGGAGGGAGCCTGGTAGAGAGACAGGGTCTTGGCTCCCAGACTGACTAAATAGAATCTGCATGTTAGCATTTCCTTCCTAAAAGAGTTCAGCAGACCTAGTGTGTTTTAGCATCTTCCCGTGATCACCAGCTGATGTTCCGGATATGGCCCCCAGGGGAGAAACGGATGAAGCCGGCTGGTCCATCAGAGCTGTGAGAAGCCAGGATGCCTGTGGGAGAGTTCTCAGCTGCAGGGAAAGGATTGAGAACAGCTCTCGTGGGTCCAGAAGAAATTGGGTCCATCCATAGAAATGGAGGAGTCAGGGATGAAGGTTCTGGAATAAAGACAGTGAAACGTTCCAAGCTCAATGCCCCATGTTTGTTATTCTAGTTTCCCAGGAGAATCTCCTAGCAGAAATTAAGTGTACGAGTCTAAAGTGTGACAATTTGAACATCTAATGACAGTGTCGTCCAGCCTTGGGCTGAAACATCCAATGTATCTGCAATCCCAGCCTGTCTCACTCACCAGCCACCTCCAACAGTGACCATCCAAATTATTTCAAAAACCTGTGTTGTTAGTTTGAAAATTAGTAAATTAAGGGAAAGAATAAGGCATGTGTCCAGTCGTTTCGATGTGAACCAGCTCCTGGATAACAACTAGATATTTCTTTAACAGGAGAATTGCAGCTAGTACCTGAAGGCATCAGAGTATCCCCATTTTGCAGTGATTTAACGCATCCACGTGCACTGAGCATCAATGGGGGGTGCAGGTCACAAGAAGCGAGCAGACGGCACTATGGCTGTTCTTGCCCCAGACTCACCCTGGTGGAGCCCCTGGATGGAGCGGTAAATTACAGAAATCGGAGGACAGGCAGTTCGTCAGTCACCCCGGGGTGCAGCCCGCAAACCCAGAGGGACACTCAGGAGAAGGGGGCGACATCAACGGAAACTGAAAGAGCAGGAGGTGGGGCCCTGCCCCAAATGCCAGGTGAGGACCTCCTTTGGATCCCGATTCAAACACTAAGAAGAAAAAGACATTTACGAGAAGTCGACGTGTGAGCGCTGGGCGTTCGATACTGAGGAACCACTTTTAGGGATGACGGTGGTGCTGGAGTTGATTGAGTCTATTTCAGCGCAGTGATGCTCGGACACTGGACAGCAGGACGCGGCGGGACAGCCGAGAGCCGGACACCAAGAGCGCGAGGGCCACGGCGGGGCGGGCAGACGCCTCCCCCAGGGGCCCCATCACCCGCCTTCGCGGGGTCTGAGCCCGAGCACCACCGGGCGACTGCGCAGGCGCGGCCCCGCCCACCGACGCGCTCGCGGGAGGGGAACGCGACGGGGCGACTGCGCAGGCGCGCTCCGGTGAGTGGCGCGGGACAGGGCGACTGCGCAGGCGCGGCTGGGCTGGTTTTTGCGTGGGGCTCCGCGGCCGCGTGACCTTGCGACCCCGCAGTCCCAGCGCACTCATGGCGGCTGTCAGGGCGTTGGTGGTGCCCAGGCTGGCGGCGGCCTCCGCGTTCCCGCGGTTCCCCGGCCTGCGGCCGCTGTACCCCGGCGCACGAGCGCCCTCCCCCCGCGCGGCTCTGCACGGCTCCGCGCCGCGCCCCGGGGCTAGGGTCGCGCTGGTGAGTGGACGCCGCCCGAGGTCGATCCATTAGAAATGGAGGAGTCAGGGTCTGACCCTCCAACCCCCGCCCGAGGTCGAGCCCTCTGCCCACCCCCGGTTCGAGGTCGGGCCCCGCCCCCACTCTCCGCCCCTAGTCCGCCCACCGAGCGGGCTTCCAGTGACCGTCTGCCCCTCCGCAGGTGCTGTCGGGATGCGGGGTCTACGACGGGACGGAGCTCCACGAGGCCTCGGCGTAAGTTCCTAGGTGACACTTGGCTCTCGGGAAGAGCGGTTTGCCTTCTCCTGAGCCGTTTGGAGAAGGCTTTCTCTGGTTAAAGTGGCAAAAATCACTGACCAGACCCCAGGAGACACAAAGTGAAAATTTTATAGATCGCGTGTGTAACATACAGGGGCACACAATAAAGCTGTTAAATTATGTTCTGTAGTGCTGTCTCCCGGGGATAACCACTTATCGGCACCTTCTGGTCCTTTCCCCCATGTTAACATCAGGATCACACTGCATTCTGGAAGCGGGCACCTGTTTCCCTTCAGCCCTCCAGCAGGAGCTCAGGGCTGCCCAGCGACCTTGGCTGTGGACGGATGGTCATTGATGTGACCTGTCTGCTGGCCCTGAGTAGTTTGTATTCTGGTTTTTTATTTTTTTGAGAAAGGTTTCTGTGAGCAGCACCAGTAGAGGCTGTTAGGTTTGGAGTAAGTTGGGGACTGCTTGGAGAATGCCCCCCTCCCAAGCTCAGGCCTCTCGGGTCCCCACAGGAGCCTGAGGCTGGGGGCTGTGTGTTGCCGCAGAGCCCTCCCCGTGGGGGTTGCCAGCGTATCCTGTGTTGGCGCTAGACGTGGAGTGAACTTTGGAGTGTGCGGAGCTGCTGGGCCGCCAGGAGAGTTTCCTGGAGGGGACTGGGGGAACAAGAGAGCAGAGGAGGCAACCGGTAGCAGGAGAACAGCTTGAAACCTCCCATGCACAGACAGGGAGTTGTGTATGGAGTGCTGGGGAGGTTATGAGGAGCAGAGCCGGAGAACCAGGGCGGTCCTGGCTCTATCGGGCCACGCACCTCATGCCTCCTCCTCCTCTGACAGGGAGACCCTCGGGCCCCGCGTCTGGGACAGGTTGGTGAGTTGCCTCTTGCTCTACGGGGAATGGCACTACACGTGCCATGTCTGTCTCCAACCCCTAGAACGGAAAAGTTGGGGGCACCAAGAATGAACTTACTGTTGTGACCAAAAGCTTCCCTCAAACTTCAAGACCTGTCAGTTGGCCTGTGGGAGGAAGAGCGCCCCAGAGGAGCCTGGGAACCCAGATATCCAGGCTGTGACACCAGTCGGGCCACCCTGCTCCATACCTTGTTTTGTAAAGGGAGCTTGGGGCCTAGCTGGTCTCCGCAGGCTAGTTTAGTGACAATGAATTTGAACTGTGGGCATTTGGGTTGTTAGCAGGCCAAGCATAACTTTTTGCAAAGCAAATAGGATATTCACATACATAAGGAATTTGTCCCTGGCACTCAGCTAAAATCCTGCTTTTCTCCCTGCAGGATCCTGGTCCACCTGAGCCGTGGCGGTGCCGAGGTCCAGATCTTTGCTCCTGACATGCCTCAGATGCACGTGATTGACCACACCAAGGGGCAGCCTTCTGAGAGCGAAACCAGGTGTGGGTCCACCCCTCTGGTCCCAGAGCGTGCACGGGGCAGGTTGAGACTCCCGGAGAACCTGCACAAGTGGTTGCTTCATCCTGGGCTTGAGCTGAGTCTATGTCCATGTGAATGATCTTTCTTCAGAGCAGTCATCCTCAGGCTGTTCTGTGATAATGCTGCGAGTCTCAGAATGTAATTACTGAATACTTACTGAAACATCAAAAGAAAGTTCCCCCTGGCAGGTCCTCATACCTTCCTTTTGACTAGAGGAGTGCATCTCACTTGGGTCGCTCGCCTCGCTCCCCTCTTGGGCCCACGTGTCTGAGCTAGCTCCCAGAGGCATTTCTGTTCTGGAGGCGCATGCAGTCCTGACCCTGCCCGCCCTGAGATCCAGCTCTCCCCTCCTGTCCTGCCCGGCCTGGGGCCCCTGGAGGCTGTGGTTCCAGGCGCCTTCCAGCTGTGTTCAGAGAGTGAGAGATGGGGCCGCAGCTCTCTCCTGGGGGCTGTGGTTCCCCACTAAAGGCCCCTGCGGTTTCTTCTGCCTGGGCCCCTGGCCCTGGGCCCCACAGCCGAGGGTGGTGGTGGCTCCTGCTGTGGCTGACCCTGGGCCTGCTTCACTCACCCCAAGCAGCAGTTTCTTAACTTTCCCACCACTGTCTCATCTGTCAACTCCCCGCACTGAATGGTGTCTACCTCGGACACTCAGAAGAGTTTCTATCTTCCTGGTGGCCCCAAATTGATGCAGAAAGTTCCAGATAACTTGGCGTGGGTTCTGAAGTGTGGATCCCATGGGTTCCAGGAGACATTTTGAGTGTAGACTTATGTCACTGTAGCTATGTCACCTTTTCTAGGCATCAAACCTAATGTACTTGTGAGTGCGCATCTCTGGGGCCGAGGGAACACATTCCCTTGTTTGGTGATGGGCTCCATCCTGCCCCCTTCTCTGGTTCACGCTGAACCTCTTTTCGGGCCTCTCTTTGTGTCCTTTCCCAGGAACGTGCTGACTGAGTCGGCGAGGATTGCCCGCGGCAAGATCAGCGACCTGGCCCGGCTCAGTGCGGCCAACCATGACGCTGTCATATTCCCCAGAGGATTTGGAGCCGCCAAAAACCTGTGCGTGTGTGAGCTCTGGGGTCTTCTGCTTTGCACCTGGAGCGGTAGATGGGGCCGAGGTGGTGATGTGAGCAGCTGTGAGGGGCCTAGGGGTCCAGACGATGCACGTAGCTGCTCTGTGACGGGGACCTTTGTAGGGTGAGGCTAAGTCACTTCTGAGCAAGCTGTGGAGTTTTCTCTCCTCACTCCTTTCTGAGTGCTTCTGGGGACCTGGCCGCAGTTGAGGGTGTGGGCTCCCTCCGCTCTAACTGCAGTCCTGGTGGGTCTTGTCACTCAAAACCCATCTCCCCGTCCATGGTTCTTGCAGACACCAGCTCTCCTGTGGGCAGCGTGGAAATCTGCTTTTCCGGTCAGGCCCTTTGGGTGATGGTCCTGGCAGGAGGTGGGGGGAGCTTTCTTGCTTTGCCCTTTGGGTTGTTGCCCCAGTAACTGGACCACAAGCCTGGGAGGCCATCACAGCACAGCTGTGACGTCCTTGGGGGTTTCGGGTCCTCTTTCCGTTCTCTGGTTCCTTTCTGTTTTCCTTCTGTGAGTTCGTGGAATGTCTATGTGTCCCAGCATGTCCCTCCCAGGGTGGGTCCGGGGCTGCTGCTCTGGTGACGGCAGGTTCCCCACATGGCCGTCACGGTGCCGGAAGACGGGAAGCAGCTGTGCCCGACAGTTTTGGGGGTTTAAACGTGCAGTGTAGTGCGCGTAACAACCCAGACTACGTGTTTTGATGGAAACACAACAGATCAGCAAATTGGGCCCTGGATCAAGCGTTTTCCTGTGTCAAGGATAAGAACATTTTTCTGCCCCAGGCCCTGGGGTCTCTGGGGACAAGATATCTGGGTGTAACCACAGGCAGCCAGCCCCTGGGGCTTGCCTTCCTGCTGACTGGGTCATCCCTGGGGTTCTGTGGCCTTGGCCGCCGGGGCTCCAGCCCTCCGCCTGCTCACTCCTCTGCTGGTGGAGGCCTCTGGCAGCAGCTGGAAATGTGGGTCAGAAAGGGGAGGGCGGGGGATCAAACCGATGCCTCGGATCCTCTCACCTCCTCCCCACCCTCTCCTGCCGTGCCCGCCGCCGCCTCCGGGCATCGCTCCGGGAATACGGCTTTCTTCTCGTTTCCCCCCGTGCTCCCTTTCACTCTCAGACTCTGCAAGGGTGCTGGTGCCCACCTGCTCTCCTGCTGTGCGGGTTCTCCAGCCTCGCACCAACCCGTTTCCCTCCTCACTGAGCTGTCTGGGTCTCCTTTCGGAGGTTTCCAGTATCCGCCAGATACTAAACCCAAGGGATCCCATTCTCCCTCCTCTCCACGAGTTCTCTGTGAGTGCTGTCGGAGCGCCCTCGGAACTGCCCACGGGGCCCCAGTTCTTCCCAGCTGCTCCTTTGTGGAGCCCCTTCCCTCCTCCTGCACCCCTTCTCTGTACTCCCCCAGAAATTTCCTCTGCACGTGGCTCAGCTGTCCCCACATCTGGACCCTGGATCTCCCCCTTTCTGACCAGTATTTCCAGCTTCCTGCCCGAGAGTCGTTAGAGTATGTTGGTGATGTTTAAAGCCACGTCCCCTAACTTGCGCTCGGCTTCTGTCAGGCTCTCGTGTTCTCTGGACCTCCCCTGTTCAGGGGAGGGGTGGGGGCGGTTCAGGCCGATGCCTCGGATCCCGTACTCACTGTCCCCTCTCTACCTGGCTGGGTCAGCTGGCCAGCTGATGGTTGCCATTCCGCCTGCAGCAGCCCGATAACCTCCTAGCTGGCTGTGGGGAGGGGCAGAAGTGGTTACGTTCCCTGAAGTCTAACTCTGCTCACGGCCCTCCCGTGTTGTGACACCTCGAGGCTCCCTCCGCCTGCGGGCATCAGAACGCCTCCTTTCTCCAGGTTCCCATCTGGTCTCCCAGCCCCTCGAAACAGTGCCCACGCTCCTTTCTCCTGCTGGGAGCTCTTTCCCCGCCTCATGTCCACTCTCTCTTCCAAAAGCCAGTCTTTCAAGTGATTTCCCCACGTCGCCATCTTCATGAGCCTCCTGGCAGGTGACACAGAGAACCATTGGCTGGATTTTGACCTCCTTAGGACCAGGGTTTCTTTCTCGGGAGGATGAGCTTGCCTCAGAAACCGCTGCACCTTACCCTTGACCCTTAGCACTGCTTCTGGTGGGGGCGGCGGAGCAGTTTGAGGTTTGTCGGGGTCCTGTCCCAGCATGGCTGACCACCCACCCTTGGTTAACTCGCTGGGTTGTTGGCTGCCTGTCTCGGCGTTCGAGGAGGCGGTGGGCCTCGGGTCAGCACATGTGTCTTTGAGCTCACGCTCCTCTGGAGAAAGCTGCAGCCTCTGGTCGCCAGTCCCCTTCTTTCTGACCTTTCCAGAAGAGAGGCCGGCTCTGGCGTCAGTGGTCTCCTGTGTGGTGGCGGCTTTGTTGTTAAGGTGTGGTGTGAGTTAAGGGCGGCAGGTGCGTTCATTTCTTCCTGTTTGAGACCCCGGCTCCTCTTTGCCACTGTTACCAGCTTTTGCGTTTCCCGAGAGATCCGTGTACGTGGTTGGTTAAAAATCTAACTGGATGGCAGCCTCTTAGCTCGTGGTTGTGCACTCTGTATTACCACTCAACAGCATGGATGGTGCTGGTCCATTAATTGTCCAACAGCTGCCCCCACAGATCCCATTGGGTAGACGACTCAAGCCTGATGGACACGTGTGATTTCCAGCCCTCTTTTTTATCTTTTTTTTTTTTTTTTTTGGTGAGGAAGATCAGCCCTGAGCTAACATCTATGCTAATCATCCTCTTTTTGCTGAGGAAGACCGGCTCTGAGCTAACATCTATTGCCAATCCTCCTCCTTTTT